TTCTATTTGACATTATGTGTGTAAATTCATGCGCAACGTACTAATGTTAATACACAATATATTAAATAAATATTCTATGTATAAATTCATTATAACGCGTACATACAAAAAAACCGGAATTTTTTGAATTTAATTTATTACACGAAAATCCTGATTGGTGACACATAGTGAAACGGGACCTCAGAAATGATTTTTGATTCAAAAAATATATCCAGAGATGGTGAGTGATGAAATGGAAACTTGCAACTCCATGAAATGAAAGAGGGGCAAATTTATCTAGAATATTTTTTTAAGGAATTTTGTTCTTGAAAAATTTTTGGCTGATTTTTTTTTTAAAGTTTTGTATGAATTATTAACAATAATTGATTGACTTTATTAAATTTTTACAAGTTTTTAATATTATTCCACAAACAACAGGAAAAATTATATGATTAAATTACAAGTAATTATTCTTCCTCTTGAACCGCAAAATTTATTTTAAGGAATAACCAAAAATTCATTAAATTAGGTCTAAAAAAAAAATAAAAAAATCATGGCAAGTATTAAATAAAAATCTTTGATGAAAAATATAATTAGAATAAAATTTATATCATGCTAAACTTGCCTAGTTTCTGGTAACATGGGGTATTGTAACCTTGCAATTGGTTTTATAGTTTCTCCACTTACAAGACATTTTAACACATAAAAAGAAAAATAATGAGAACTTAAACGTTTCCATAATAAAAGATATTGGAAAAAAATTGCTGATAAAGGAATGGGCAAATTCTTACAATAAGATTTTTAGAAGCATTAGAAAGTTTAAAAATATTATTTGACAGAGAAAAAAAGAATAAAAAATTTAATTAATTACCTGCATAAATAAATAGCTTACATTAGGGGCTGATATAAATGTAGAAGAATTATTTGGAAATAACTTTGTTGGTGATGTTGTTGTGCTCGATACAATTGAAGCATTATCAGATTCATATATTATATTTTTCCTTAGCCTAATTACTTGATCAGATACTTTTGAATTAAAATCTCGATTATGTATTATAGAAGAAGAGCTGCCTTTTGTTGCAATGATAGATCGTTTTGTTTGATCTTCAATAATGTTTTTATGAGAATTATTTGTCCATGGCCAAAAAGATTTTATTCCTTTCACAACCCTTGCAATTCCATACGTTGCAAAATAATCAGGATCACAAATTTCAAATCTTAAACCACCTAAAAATTTTTTCTTTAATATGAATTTTTAATATAAACAAATAGAATATATTCAAAAAACAAAACAAGGAATTTTCAAAATATACCTGGTAGTCTTTCTGGATCTTTGAACCTTAACATTATTGCAAATAAGGGAAAATGATTCAAAAATGCTAACAGTGTTTCCATGACTGCCTGTAAAAATATAACAGCAACACGGCTCTTGGAAGGAAAATTTTTTTTTGAAAAATTATCATTCAAAAAAAAAATAATAATTTAAAATCAAAAAGGAAAAAAAAAACTTACTGCTGCAAAAGTAGCATAATATACTACCACAGTGGGAAATAAGAAAGTCAATAAAGTAAATAAAATTGTTCCTAAGAGTAGTTGATCTAAATCATAATCACAAGAATCAATTCTTTTCCTTAATGTATTCCATTTTTTTCCTATAAATCAAACGAAACTTCATATAATATCAGTTTTTTAACTATAACAGGACAAAAAAATTCTATATAAGAAACCTTACCTTGAAATAAATTAAACAAGGAATATAATATTGTAAGTTGCCAATTATATATTTTAGCAGCAACCATATAAAACAAATATATGTGTAATGTCATAAAGGATAAAAAATCTGAAAGAAGTGATATAACCATAGATGCACCCAACATTCCAGATAATCCGATAATTTGCATTATTTTAGGTGTTAATGGACCCACATCTGCAACACAATCTATTTTTCCAAAAAAGTATTTTTTTAAAGTTTTAGATCCCAAAAATTACAACAATAATGTATTTAAAAAAAAAATAATAAAAAAATAAAATTTTAACCTCTCCATAAATCAATTAGCCACAAAAACAATTCTCCCATAAATTTATTAAGATCACTGTTTAATTTTAAACCAGCTGGCCAACCCATCAACCAATCAATCATAGACACTAATTTTGCTATAGTGTAATGCTGAAACAAACAATGGAAATAATAAAAATTATTTTATTTTCATTAATGCATTTGAAATTTTGAATGGATAATTAAAATTTTCTTACATCAAGATACTCCTTCAAAATAATATTTGCAACGTGTTCACTATTATTAAAAAGAAAGGATCCAAATGTGACACCAATTATTATATCATTTGCTACAAGCCACATACTATTGTAGAAACTAAAATAAGATTATATTCAATTAAATTATTAATGATAATTATAAAAGTAATATTTATTATGTACTTTAAAGATACTCATTGCTACCTTATATATTGTGCTCTTGTTGTTGCAGTATTAGTCCAATCCCTTCGTCTAAGTAGCATATATTGCCAAGGCCAAAAACATGCTTGTTGAAGACGTAAATCAATTTGCTGCACTGTAATTTATTTTAATAAAATTAATATTATTAAATAAATAAATAAATAAATTTATATTTTAATAAAAAACTGTCATACATGTTGCGGATAAATCCTTTAATGCTGTTCCATTAAACATCCATGTTGGAAATCTTAGATTTAAAATCCAAAGTATTAATTCTGCAAATATTCTAACCAACATTAACAGATAAATCATAGGCTGTGCAATTATTGGCCGAATCATAGGAATAGCGTAATGTATTGGATAGAGAAAACTGTTTTTTATGAATTTCCCTATTCCAACTGCTGATTTTTTAACTGTTTCTGAAACACTTGTGCTACGTCTATTACGTCTTATGGTGAAAAGGCGACATCTGGTTAATATGGCTTTCTCAGTTTCAAATGATGAATTAATCTAAAATTAGAATCTAAATGTCAAATGATACCAAATCATAATATTATTATATTCAAATTAACATCATTATGTCATGATGATTGTAATATACTACCTGATTTAAGATAAGATACATAGTATTCATTTGTCTTTGAGAATTTATAAGTTTTTTCCTACTTTTTAATGCGATTGAGTGTTTTTCAATAATTTGTCCACTATTTTGCTGAATATCCAACACTAATGGTTCAAGTGAGAGGTATTGTAGCCTAGTTGGATTTGGTTGCTTGTAAAAAATAATTTCTGAACTTACATCTCGATAACGATAGCCACAACAATGTATTGATCTGTTTAAAAGAAAGAAATTAATTTTTAAGCATTCTCTTCAAAAAAAAAAAAAAAAGAATAAGATAGTTCTTTATCTCCAACCTTAATGATGGCAAATTATTAATCTGTAAATGCATTGTCATCCAAAAAGATGCAGATTTTTTTTTTTCTAATTGATAAAAAATTAAAATAATATTTAGAAAAAAGGAAAGAAAAAATTTTCAAAATATGGTCATACCTTCTAAAAGAGTATTATCTGTTTCACTTTCATTATCTGAATGTGCGGTAGTCATTACACCCAAAACTATTGGAGGTTCACCACAAACCGTTTCCATATATATGAATGATGAACTATTATCTGTTGACAAGGCAGACAATGTGGTCTCTAAATCACTAAGCTTAACATTAGATATTACTGCAGCAACACATGCAGTAAAACTACGAACATTCCAACCAACTAAGAATCCTGGTTTAGTATGTAATGAACAAGCATGTGCTGGCCAAAAAATTTTAGAAAATACGGCTCTTGATGCGTTCATTTTCAAGAATAACTTGTCCAAAGAAAGTTGGAACCGGCTAAAAAAACCTTAACCGGTTAATTATATAATTTTTTTTTTTAAAATCTTTATTTGGAAAAATCAAAATCATAAAATTTCCTTAAACGAAATTTACCATAATAAGTAAAATGATGAAGTCATAATTTCACAAGGAAAAAATTTTTTTTTTGAAAATATTTACCCAACAATAAGTAGTAACTCAATTCGAAACCGTTCAAACATAAATTTCGATAAACAATATCCCGACATTAATTCTGATGGGTTTTATCATGTCATTCATTAATGATGGTTATGAAAGTACCGAAACTTTCTTTTGTTATTCTTCCTGGCCCATAATTTACCTGTTTTTGATGTATGGAATCGTTTTGAAAAAATTGAAGATTCACTTTCAAATGTAATTTATATGCGGAACAATATAATCTCTTCTATAAACACTTCAATTTATTCAAATATTAGTAGACAAAAAGCACTCACTTCCTACCAATTCCGACCTTATAACGAGGCTAAACCTAAGTATATCCCTAGGTATTACATATGGAATCCCACGCTTTACGATGATCTCATCTCCATATTTGTTAAAAAATAGAATTGATTATTAGTTCTATACCCTTGGCCTATTGCAAATTGTTTGGTATCAATTTTCCTAATTAAATAGTAAAATTGGTTATATGTTGACATATTAAGAAAATTTTATAATTATAAGTACCAATTTAATTCAACATATAGACATTTTTTCATGTATATAAGAACCAATCAAGGAAATTGCTCTTTAATTTTACACACATGATGATAAGGAATTCTGTCACATATTACAACTATCCATTTACATACTCCATCCTTAATTTTTGATATTTTTTTCCTATTGTTGAAGAATTTTCTCAAAATTTACTATATAATATTTAATGAACCAGGAGGAATATATGTAAACATTTTGATCAGGAATCGAACTTTGTGTGTAATTTGTTCGTGGAAGAGAAGTAATCTTAGATTCATTTTCAGGATTATATGTTTTAAAAATAATTTTTCGTTAATTAGTCCGATGAATTTTTTCCCTCAACTGTAGATTGTTCAAATTTCTTTTGTAATTCGGCAAAAGCAAATTACATTTCAATATTTTTCTCATTACAATTTAAACAATATTTACTACTATCGATATTTGAGGTAGTTTCTATAGAGAATTATAAAGTTTATTATTAGTAATTATTTGATTGTAGTGACTCTCACAAATAGAATATGATGTTAGAGAATTTTCAAGAGAAGATAATTCAGGAAAAGAAGTCGTAAAAGAGGTCAAGATAATTAGTTGCTTTTGAACCACTAGCATGTCGCCATGTTTGAAATTATTTAGTTTCACATTTTCTTAAACCTTTTTGTTCATATTTTTCAAATAAGCAACTGAAAATGTAAAGTAAATTTTTTTCAAGTGGTTTAGGATTTGTTTGTTTATTCATTTTTAAATGCAATATTGAATCACAATAAGATTTAATAAAATCTACCTATATTCAAATGAAAAATCTTTAGAATTTTACAATATGTCAATAAACTTACAAGATTCAATTTTATCTGGTGCTGAAAAAATCATCTTTAAATTCTAGAAGTCTATTAAAGAATTTCACCTTAATGATACAATTTTAAACTTCTTGATTGAACATTATAATTTATCTTAGTATAACATTTTGTTCAGTTGCAGAAAATTGTAAAGAATCAAAAAATTTTCTATATAAGCGCTATCATAGAAAAATCTCCAGCTATTAAAGTTGGTGATGAATATTTTAGCTCTAAACTTATAAGATCAGACTTAAATTATAATCGCTAAATTTATAGATGAAGATAATAATTCTTTTTACTGGCCTGGAGTTACTAATTATTATTTTAAGCATTCTGTTAAATTACCAAAAATATGGGTTAGCAGTGATAACTCGGATTGTAATGTTTTCACAGGGTTGATTGGTATAAATCACGCGAAAAAAAAACATTATTTTCATGTTAAAGAGAGAAATATTAAATAGAGCTGTTAATAATACTGAAGCACAGCTAAAATGTATAATATTGAACTGTGGGATGAATCCCATGTTAAAAAAATCAAAGAACAAGTTGGTTAGTAAATTTGTAAAAGGTAATTATTATATTTACTGATGAACGCATTCATTAAATTGGATCATAGTTTAACATAATGTTAATGAGTGATAGAAAGACATTTCCAAAAATAGAGAAGTGATCACATAAGTTGAATTTGCATGTTCTATATTTCGAGAACACATAATGTACCTATTACACAGCAAAGTTAATTTTAACCATTGAATTTGCACATTTGTGGTAAATATTGTTTAGTTTGTCGTGTTAATATTAATTATTCGTCTCAACGTGTGTAAAAATTCAAGATGCTATACACTTTTCACATCTCTCCAATTGGATTTCATATACTAATAAGTTAATTAGTCCAAATACACAAACAGAATCTTATGTATACAAAAGAAGATATATTATAAGATATTATTGTTTCCCTATTAAATAATCGTAATAGCAATCTACTACTATTAAAAAAGAATACATACGTTGAATATTTAGTAATTTATACATGACTCAAAAAATAATGTTTATCTCTTTTATAAGACGTTATGTATGTATTGTATATTTTATTCATTTAAACTAATATATATTCCAACAATAAAATTATTATGACTTCGGATACGGTGGAGGTGGGTTAACGTTTTGCTGTTGTGAGGGCTAAAATTTGACTCAATTGTGAAGGATTAACTGAAAGTATTTGAGTGGTAGAGCCATTAGACATGGTATCAGACGACATCGTTAATGAAGTTGGAATAGTGTTAACAGTGTTTGGATCACTTGTAACTATGATGATTTGTTGTTGTACTGTAGCAGGCACTGGTTCTGTGAGTGTTGTCGGGTCAGTTGTTGACGAACTTAATTCAAGGATCACATGCTATGAATAAGAAGGTGGTAATTTTATTATTTTTATTATTATTATTATTAAGTCTGTTAAAGACTCAAGAACACAAGTTCACTCACATAATCTTTTTTCACGAGACCTTCTGAAACATATTTTGATTCATAATCAATTTTCCAATTTATATTCTTGGAATTGTCTGTGTTGTTTACTCGTTCCATTAATTTTTCAAGTTCTTTCATTATCTACGTTCCATATAAGACACTAGTTATTAAAACTTTTTTTTTAAAAAAAAGAGAGAAAAAGTAAAATGTATACATACTTCTTTCTTGCGAGATTCCCTGATCATCCAATGAATAAGTAATACGATGGCATACACAGATAATGAGATGCTAATGTATACCCACCACCAATAATCTCCTGATTCTTTTACATTATTAACTGTTATTGGTATACCTATTACTAGTACCAATATCGTAGTTATAAAGTAAAGTATAAAAAGGCATGATGATATATTATTATGCTTTTTTATTAAATTATTAAATTCATTAATTCGAGTCTCGAACAATTCCTTTGGGATCTAAGAAAATGAGCGTGAAATTATTTTAGAGTTTAATTAAAACCTTTTTTTTTCTTTTTTGAAACTCACGTATCCTGAAATGTCTGGAGAATATTGTGCCTTGACCACGCCGTCTTTTACACGATATTGTTTTGTTATCAGATTTGACATTTTTTTTTAATCGAGTAAGAATATATACATATATATATATATATTACATATGCATTAATATGCAATATTAATTCGTGATACGTGAAACAACTGCAATAATTTCATAATAGAATTTGGCGCAAATTCCATACTTCATTCTTAAAAAACTACTATTTATACGAATTTATAAATTGTATTTGCAAATGTAATAAATAATAAGAAACCCAAAGTTTTAAT